CCCTCCCCACAACTCCCCCTCCTCTGGGCTCCTCCCCGCTGGGACCCCGTCTCCTCTTTTCCCCGCCCCTGGATCCCCATCTCCTGTCTGGCTCTCTAAACAATTCCCCCTCCTCCTACTCTCTCGGCCCTGAACCCTCTCCCCCCCTCACCCACACACACCTTCTCAAGAACCCAGTCCCCTTGTACTGTATCCTGACAATCTCACACCTGCCTGGGACCCAAGTGATTCTCCCTCTCCCTTTGTCTGAGGAAGGGGAACTCTGGTGTTCCAAGTGCCCGTGTCCCCAAGTCCCTTCCTGTCTGGGGCAGGAGAGCTTTATTAAAATTGGAATTGTGATCCCATTTAAATAGGCTTTGTTTTAAATAATATACCTTTAAAATTAAATTGACATTGTTATGGCCTAAATTTATCATAACCTATTTAAATAACATATGAATTAAATTTACAAATTAAATAGAACATGTCTCCTGTCAACTTTTAAAGATATTCTACCAGTTAACTAGTGTAAGTACCCAGAACCAGCAGTAGCTTCTTCTGCAGGTGAAGAGAGAATGTTTTTATCACTTTGGTTTATTCAGCTAGTTCAGTTCAATGATTAGTTCATTCACCGTTGCAAAACCGAGAGTTGAGGAAGCAAAAAAACTTGTTTTCCTCTTCTCTCAGTAAAAAACTGGTTATGAGAGCGTTCTAACATCTTGAAGAACATGATGACTAGATTCGACCTGTTAAATTCACTATGGATATTTCCTTTGTCTAATAAATGAATTTTTAGATGCAAAACATGTTTGGATACTTTTTTGTTACAAAAATTAAATGCTGGTTTTGTTTATTTTAAATAGAATTTCTGTCCAGACAGAAGTAGATGCAAATCATATGTTTTAAAAAAAAGTAGCAACCACTTAGCAAATAATAAATGGGGTAAAACCTGGTCTCTTAAGTGTTCCTATTATACACCATTTTATAATAGAATAAAAATGTAAAAATTAAGAATCTGATTACATGTAAGTTACACAATTATTTGGGCATTTATATAGTTGGTAGCTGTACTGAGTGTGTTCTCCTGGTTAGTAAATAGAAGCAACAAATTTGGCATAAAGGTTATATTTAGTTGTAAATCAACATGTTTTAAAGGTTGCTAATCAATAAGACTCAACCATCCTTTAGGAAAATATTTTAAAAGTATAATTTAAATGATAAATTGCTCATTTAAACCTAGGTTTTCTGCTTGCCAGTTTAAATCATGATTAAAATTAGAGATTTAAATCAAAGCTATTTAAATCAATCCACCCTGTTTCAGAGGCTGTTTGGTCCGTACCTGAAGGAGAAAGCACAGGGCTGCGCTCATGGAATAGGTCCTAGGCTAGTGGGGTTTTGTTGTCTGGTGCCTGTCTTGTTCTGGACAGTTGAGCTGGGGAGTTGAAACAAAAGTTCTCTTAATCCCTTTGAACTGTCTCATTGTATAGTGAGGCTGATTCTTGTCCATGGACACCGAGAGGTGGACAGCTTATGTGTTGGGGTTGGAGTCTGAGTGATTATAAGGCTTCTAGTAATAAAATCTCTTTGCAGAGTGAGGAGTGGGACCAGGACTCCAGCACTAGGTGATGTGAACAGCTGCATGCTTTGGAAGTTAACTGGCTTGCTGTGGATAAACCTGCCCTCCCATTGTCCTCATGTGGGGAGTCCCTGGCACTCTCCTAGGAGATGAAAATGCCCTGACGTTTGATCTCCCCCGAAGCATTCACCCCACCCCCCCAGGAAGCCGCACAATCTGCATTTCCATGCGCACCCCCAGCAAGCTGTGCAAGCTGCATTTGCACGCGAACCCTCCCCGGACAAAAAAAGGGGGAGGGCAACATTTTTTTGCTTGGGGCAGCAAAAATCCTAGAGCTGGCCCTGGCACTGAGATTTGGGAGTGGGAGGGAAATTCTTCTCAAAGTCACTGCTTTCCTCTGACCAAGGGCTTTCAAGCCAGCAAGGGATCTGTCTCCATCCTGGTGGTGGTCATGAATCAAGAGTTCAGAAAGGATGGGACACTGAGCCTTGTCTCAGTCTAGAGACAAAACAAATTGTGATAATCCCCTTCTCAAGTGCCATGACCAATTATTCAGATCTTTCACCCTGAGTCTCAGCCTCAGTGGTGGGAGTGGGCTTGTTTGCACAGCATGTGCACTGGTCTATTGATCCTGATCTGCCTCCTTCCCCTGCAGTGTCCCAGGAGACCCAGTACCATAAGGAGCAGCAGAGCCCCATTCTGATTCTCCATCCCCCTCGCTGAATTTGACATAAATGACCTGTGACCCTGGCTTCCTGATGCCAGGCATAGGCAGGCTGGCTCTGATAAGCTGTAGGACCTGCAGCTGCAGGGGCTGTGGGTTGGGAGTGTTCCCCTTAGGCAGACAGAGTCAGAGCAGGGAATGAGATAGACGAGTCAAATTCATCGTCTCCTGGTTCAGTGGAGATCCTGGGACTTTAAGGGGACCACGTTCCAGCCCCTGCTCCAGCCAAGTTCATGCCAGGCCTTGGGTCCCTTCTTGTCCTCCTGGAGCAGTTGGGGATGCAAGTCCCCGTGGAGGACCCTGCCCACATCCCTTTCCCCCAGGATCCCTGAGAGGGGGGCAGATGGAGCTGAGGGTCTGGCTTTAGCTCCTCTCCCCCAGTGTCTTCAGCAGAGGGACTTGAGGGAGAGACTCCTGGCCTAGGGGAGACTGGGAGCTGACAGTGGAATACTGATGAAGCCCCCTCTCCTTCCCTCCCATTAGAACTCAGAACAATTGCCCACACTAGGGAACTTGGTGGCTTAGCTGAAACTGTCAATCAGTGACGAATTTGGTGGCTTAGCTGTGACTGTCAATCAGTGACCCAGCCAAGGACGTAGGCCAGCTGGCCAGGGAGGGGATTTAGCAACTCTACAAGCTGCTGCTACACCAGAGGTAAGGAAACCCAGCTGGGAAATAAGACCCAATAGAAACGTGACACTGACAGAAGCCAGGCAATGGGACCTGTGACAGGGCACCTGCCCTGCACTGGCCCTTTAAGGCCAGGACTCAGGCCCTGAGCCAGGGCTAGAAAGAAAGAGGCCAGCTGGAGCTGTTTGGGCTAGGGAGAGCCCAGCTGGCAACTATCTAGGGCAGCACAATTGGCTTGTAGAAGCCAGCTGAACCCATTAGGGCGAGGGAGAGCCCAGCTGACAGCTATAAACGGAGAAGCTCAGTTTGCTTGGGGAGGAGCCAGTGGAGGGCTGATTGCAGAGGCAGCAGGAGCTCCTTGGAGGGAGACAAGCTGGGGATAGCCAGCAAAGGCTGGAAGCGGGCCAGCCAAGATGCCCCTTGGCTAGGGGCTGGGGACAAAGCCTCTGGTTTGAGGGCCTATCATGAGGCCGACTAGTTAAGCCAAGCCATTGTGACAGATGCCTATGATGAGCAACCCATACAGACTGTAACTTGCCCTGAGAGGGGCTATATGAGGACAGTCAGGGGGCACTGAGGCACACTGGGGGTGTGCACCCCCTGACAGGA